GAATGTCTTTTTCTCCCTGTGGATGCTCCCTCTATAATAGTTATATTTTCAGTACATCATTTGTTGTTCAGTTGCTCAGTCGTGTCCGACTCTTTGCGACCCCATGGACTGCAGCACACCAGGCTTCCTTGTCTTTCACCATCTCCCAGAGTTTGCTCAAACTCATGTCCATTGAGTTGGTGATGCCATCTAACTATCTTGTCCTCTGCATCCCCTTCTCCTGCCTTCAGTCTTTCTCAGCATCAAAGTCTTTTCCCGTGAGTCAGCTCTTATCACCAGGTTGCCAGAGTATTGAAGCTTTAGCTTCAGCAGCAGTCCTTAATATTCAGGGTTGATTTCCTTTAGGATTGACTGGTTTGATCTCCTTGCAGTCCAGGGGACTCTCAAGAGTCTTTTTCACCAGCATAGATGCTGTATATTGTAGAATTTAATTATGATTTAATATTTGCTTTCATTCATGCTACTCTTCTAGTCATTTTGCCTTTAGAGTTTAATTCCTTTACAAGTAAAAATACTCATATATCTAATCTGAGATGTTTTTGTCTAACATAGAATTTTTGTTTTCTGTAGGCTTTTAGGTTATTTTATAATTGGAAGAGTAAGAGACTGTAATAAAGATAAAATAATTCACCAATTTTATAGTTAATGTAAAATTATCTTTTTTACTTTTTAGGTGTAGAGTATGCTGATTACTATTTCTGATGCTTTAAGTGTTCATAGTGCCTTTTAACACAATTTTTCATTTCAAATTACTCCCATTCCTTGTTGCACCTTGTAATTAATTGTTTTACTTCATAGGTTTATAAGTATTCTACCTCATATTTTTTTTAAGTGTAGATTGTAGATGATGTGTATGCGTATGTAATCTTTAAAACACTGGTACATAGAAAAGCATGTGGTGGAAGGTCATATTTAAAGATTTTTACAAACCTTGATGTTTTGTACTCAGTTTTTTTGTGTGTGCAGTATTTACCTATGAGCTTGATGACTTGAAAGTAGTAATTTGTGAGACTTAAGGCAACTGGTTAGGGTTTTTGGTGTTTGTAACATACCAGTGTTGGATTCATGGGGTCACGAAGAGTCAGATACGACTGAGAGACTGAACTGAACTGAACTGAACTGAAGTGTTGATGAAGATTATAATTTCCAAATGAGAAATAGAAAGCGTAGTTCACATTATTCTGCTGTGCTTCTTTCTTTCATTTGAACTGAATAGAGAAATAATAATAAGTAGTTGATAGCTGGTTACTATATGTATCAGTTAGCTCTTGATCCATGACAGATTACTTTTGTAGAGTGCAATGGTTTAAGACAACATACGTTTATTGTTGAACAGTGATTGTGGATTAGCAATGTGGGGACAGCTTAGCTGGTCCTCTGCTTCAAGGTCTCTCACAGACTTTGAGATGCTCATCTCAAAGACTTGCTAAGAAAAGATTCATGTTCAGAATCACTGACTTCTTTGTTAAAAAGATTCACTTCCTCTCCACCATGGTAGTTTGCTTTATCATAGCATGAATGCTGAGAACACAATAGAAGAAACCAGCAAAATAGAAGTCAGTCTCTTTTGTAACCTAGTCATGGAAATAACATTACATCATTTTTGCTGTATTTCGTTTGTTGGAGATAAATCATTATCTAGCCCACCTTCAAGGGGAGGATATAAATACCAGAGGTATAAGAAGACATGAATACCAGGAGGCAGGAATCATTGGAAGCCAAGTTGGAGATCTCCTATTGCGGAGCTCTTTTTTTGCGTTAGTTATGTAAAATAATGATGGGATACATTAAGAATGAGTTCATAGATAATTTTTATTACATTTTTAAACTTGAATACAGAGCTGTTTTGTGAGAATTTTAAAAATAATGAATTTTAAATGTAGTTGAATTCCTTTTGATGTGATGTTTTGCTGGCGTGCTGCCTTTCTGTTTCTTTGTACCAGTTCCTTCAACCTCCTAACAGTCCCTCCACTCACCCTTACACTTCTTTACATTTAAAAGTTCATATTACATACTGGTAAAGTTAAATCCTATTTTCTTTCTTTTGAAGGTGCCGGACAGTATAGGCTGTCATACAGCTGTACTGTTTCATTTCACAGTGGCACATACTTTGTTTAATAAAAATTTGAAATGGAATTTATACATTTTGAGTAGCTCTGCAGTAAATCCAGTGATTCTCAAAATATGGTCTCTGGTCAGCAACATCATCATCTCCTTGTTTGGAATGCAGATTCTCTGCCTCACACCAGACCTACTGAATCAGAAGTTCCAGGGGATGGGCCCAGCAATCTGTATTTTAACAAATTCTTGAAGTAATTCTGATGGTTGCTAAAGTTTCAAAACCCCATCTATTCATTCCCTTTAGAACTTGAATATAACTTTTCCAAAAGCTTTTGGCCAGTAATAGAAACCTTACTTTTTACTGCTGTATGCAGAATTTTCCAGGAAAACATTTTGTTTTTGCTACTCATTTTAAAGATAAAGGATACAGAAACACAATGCGTGATTTGTGTATTTCAAATCTGTTGTCTGGGCAGCACGTGTGTTGGCCAGGAAAGTTGGGAGTGCCGGGAGAAACAAGACAGGGAATTTTGAGGTGAATTTTATCTTTCATTTTACTGTTCCCTCTTGTTAACAAAAGTCAAATACTAAATAGTGATTTTTCTAGGTGAGAATTGTGTTGGTCTAACATTATATTACATATTAAACTTTTTAAGTAGCATTTTTAAAATATACTTGCTAATTGTCAAAAGAATGGATCGTATAGCGTTTCATCACCTTTGAAATTCTGTTTCAGTGAACTTTAATTCAAAATTAAGATTTGAATTATCTTAGATATACGTCTCACACAAAGGGTCTTCTCTAGTTCTCATGCCAACTTTCCGATGTGTAGATATTGTTTGGAAAGACATCCGTATCTATCTATCTAGCATAATTTTTGTGTTCTTAATTCCTTTCAGTTGATTTTTTAAAAGAATCTGTCTTATGAGACTACTGTAGTAAGAAAAATTAAAAGCAGAATGTTTGTAATTTTAACTGTCTTCATAGCACATTTAATAGTTTGGTTATATTCTTTTATTTTTATGTTTTGTGAAAGTTTGGTAACTTCAATGTTTTTGAGGTCTAAATGTTGAGAGGGCTGAATAGTATTTTCTTAGTTATTTTATATGAGTTCACATTGTAGTTAGCTTAAGTGATGTATGCTGTTCATGTATTTACTTGGGTAAAGTTATTAGGATTACAGAGTGGGTTGCTGAAATTGGCATGGTTACCTTACCATACCTAGGACAATGGTCATGAATTAAATAGTCACGTATTTAGAACTGGGACATGTAGTGAAGCTCAGTAGTACCTTAAAAAATCTATAATCTTCTAATGAAGATCAAGTAATAGTAGCTATTAAGAGCATTTAATATACTCTGCCTTCCTTAATTCCCCATTTAGTGTGGTGTCTGGACCTTTTGTTAGTATTGTTTGCTGGACTCTTAGCTTAGTAATGTAGGAAGCAGGGAGGTGCCTCAGGAGGTACAGGAATTACCATGGAGTGGCTTATTTTAGTAGACCTGTGGATGCCCAGTGATTTTTGAAACATGACCACTGTGTTATTTATCTTTTCAGTCTTGTTGGTTTGAGTTTAACCATATCCTTTTATTGCATGGGTGGTTAAATAAGGTGCTTCATTCTCCATTTTAAGGCCTACTTAGTTCCTTAAGTTCTGTTTGAATAAACCTCTTAATCAGGTAAAACATGCATAGAAAAATTTTAAATTATTAGCAGATGTTTCCATTGACAAGCAAACATTTGAAAGCAATTTTTTTCATTATTTTTTCCTATGTTCTTAGTTAATGAATTTAGGTTACTTTTTCCTCTTTGGGAATAGTTTTGATGCAGTTTTTTAAGCTAGGATTTAGTAAACCATTCTGACTTTGTTGAAGTTCTTTTTGATTTAACATTTTCCTTGAAAAAGCTTTTCATATTGAAATTTTTCTACTTAGTCATTTTTCTTCAAACAAGAAAATTATAATTTGCATGACATGTAAATTTTAAATTAGGATTTAAGGGCACATTTGAAGAGTCCCTGGTGGCTCAGATGATAAAGAATCTGCTCGCAGTGCAGGAGGCCCAGGTTCTAACCCTGGGTCAGGAAGAACCCTTGGAAAAGGGAATGGCTACCCGTTCCAGTATTCTTGCCTGGAGAATTCCATGGACAGAGGAGCTTGGTGGGCTATAGTCCATGGGGTCGCAAAGAGTCGGACATGACTGAGTGACTAACACTTTCACTTTCTTGACCAATGTAAATTGAGAATGTTTATATGTAGTTTATTCCTTTAAAGATTATAACGTGTGCGAGTGCAAGTCACTCAAATTAGTATTTACTGACTTCTGTTGAAGTAAACCACTCACATTCATCTTAAGTGTGCCCTAGGGTTGTAAATTTATGAATTGGCTATATCCCTTGTCTCTACTCCCACAAATCAAGGGAAATAATCACCTTTCCACACTCCTATCAACAATAGAAAAACGATTCATGTCCATACTTGAACATCCCTCACAGCTTTACTAAAGTGAATATCCATCATCTTCCGAGTTACCTTGTACTACCTGCAGTATTTAAGATAAGCCTGTTACCACTTTGCCTATTATACTGTTAAAATAACAAGATCAGATGTTGATTATCAAGCTTAGTGTTAATTTCATGGAGTTTGATATTTGTGTGTGCACAAGGGTGCTTTTTTTAAACTAACATCTCACTTTGTTCATGGTTACAATTAGTGGGGAAATCTTGTTATCAAGTTGGTAGGCTGGGTTTTCATCAGGAAGTCTGATATTATACTCGAATTGTTGGTCCTCTGCAAGAAAACAGAATGCTGCTTTTGAGTGAATAAGCCAGGACGATGAGGCGAGGGGTTTTATTTCAAAGTTTTCTTTCGTGATGGCATAAGTACATAACAGGTTTTGAAATCCAGTTACTATATTAAATTTCATCACTTGTTTTTTAGGTATTCCAATAACTGTACCACCTCCAGGTAAAACTTTTTTCATGTTTTCTCCATCATTGTTAATAAACATGAAATTTCAAGCTTATAGTTACAGGAGGGACGGTGTTGATGTGGTTAGAATATAAAATAGGTTATTGGGATTTCAAGGTCCTATTTTCAGCTCTGCCTTTGCTTCATTCCAGTTTTGATTAAGATATTTAGTTTTCTTATACCTGTCTTACCCATTTCTGTAGAAATAGAGATTCTGAGAAAATTCTTACCATATCAATTTATTGAAGAAAACAGAGTATAGGATTACAAAGAAAATTTTTATTAAAAATTGTTTTTTCAAGCTAAAGAATTTTTTGTATGATGAAGTGACTGCAAGAGAAGAGAAAGTTCCATTTATCTTGATTTTATCATAGTTTCTGATTATTTTTACCCTCCTGACATAACTCAATATTGTGAGAAAATATGTTCTGAACCACACTGATAGGTTGACAGCTGGTCAGATGGTTGTTCATAGAGCAGTGATTTAATTGTTCACTCTTGTAAGAATATGATCAACAGGAGTGTAACATGTGGCCCAGTGGTTTGTTCTTTTTTGTTTTGTTTTGTTTTACAGTTTTTCAGGGTTTTTTTTTTTTTTTCTTCTGTAGTGTGATGCAGCTGTGATAGCAAGTGTGTTTATGAAGTTCAGTATTAATAGTCATGAAATGTAAAGAGATGAGAGGTGACAGTGCTTGGAAGGGTGGGTCTAAATTCAAAATGACCTTGATAAATAGAGTTTAAATAGCTTAGGATGGTATACATATTTAGTTGTCAGATAGTCACTGATTGTGTATGAGTGTGGCTGAAAAAGACCTATCAGGAGAAGTCTTAAAGGAGTCATTGGTGTGTCTTTATAGGTTAAAAAAAATGTGATTATAAGGTTGTCTAAAATAGGATTGTGGACTCTAGGACTAAGTAGTAATTGCTGAGTTCTACACTGTTAAGATATTTAATAGAGGAGAACCTAAAACTTGACACAGTGAAGATGAGCATGGTGAATTTAAAACAGCTTGAAACAAGGCCAAAAATTGGTTTAAATGGACTTTTGAAAAGGGGTAGGAGAACTGAGATTCATTTTTACATAGAATACTAAAAAGGAGGCTTAGTGGAAATGTTTTCAAACATGTATTTTGTTGGATTGCTTCTTGTCCTCATTAAGATCAGTATGTGAATTGTAGTATGAGAGATTTAATATTACATAATTTAATGTACTTCCTAATAGTCAGGGTCGTTAAAAGTTGGCAGAAATTGATGTCATAAAGAATTGGTATTGTAAGTTGTAGACTCTTCAAGCCTTGTTGAGATGCTTCTTTGCCTGACTGAATTTGAAAGTGCAGAGTAGATTAACTGTTAAGGTCCCTGGTAGCCGTATTCTGTGGTATTTCATCCAGGTTTTGTGAATTATTCAGAATGCAGACCTCATGATATAAAGCTGCAAATTATTTCCTTTCTAAACTAATTAAAAAACTTCATTATGTGCTTTTCTTTGTAAATTAGTTCTTTAGGGTTGTGCTATTTAAAACATATTTTATGATGGATATTCTCAGCCTTAAGCATTATATATTTACTGGTAAGATTTTATTTAAAAATTATGCATTTTAAGGCCATTTCTATACATCTAAACTCTCAAAATATTTTTGAAAGAGGTAAATGTTATTTTATTTGCTTTTCTTCTAAAATACTTAAAATGTATCTGGTGGCAATCCTACTACTGTTTAATATATGGAAAAGGTAAGGCACTGAGATTAACTTTCTCATACTCACAAAATGGGCTGTGTGTGGTGCTGAAAATAAGACCGGGTGTCCTGACTCCCAGTTTGTGCTCTGTGTATTAGGCCAGACTGTTCATTCAAAGTTAATATTGATCCAAAAATCTGTTTATAAATGTAAGCTCCATTTTTTTCCTGTCCATTATAACATAGAGAAGCACGTTATAGTCCCAGAGAAATTTAGTGACACACAACTTTTAACTCGACATTGTATTACATTCTAACTTCTTTATATCTCATGATTGAATGTTTCAGGTTTTCCTCCTCCGCCAGGTGCTCCGCCTCCTTCTCTCATACCAACAATAGAAAGGTAATCAGTGTGGACGCTGTGAATTCTTATCATTCATAGGCTTTGACAAGAGAATCATATGTATCTTGGTAATATTTTCAAAGATTTGATTTTGCAAACAGTAGTACTTGTCTTTTAATTCATAAGTCTAGATCTGTGTTATTTACTCTTAGATAAGATATTGGACCTATAGCTAATTACAGAACAGGACAAAGAAAATGAAATGATAGTATTTTGAATTATCTTGCTTTGATTTATGGTACTCTTATTAAAGAAACTTGGCTATGATACTCAAGTTTTGTGGGATATACAAACAGATTGGTAAAAACTTGGCTATAGTCAAGTTTTGTGGGATATACAGTTTTGTGGGATACAACTAGGTTGGTAAAAACTTGACTATAGTCAAGTTTTGTGGGATATACAAACAGATATATAGAAATTATGAATAATGTGTATCTGTTTTAGGATTAAGTAAGGACAGCTATTATCAGGGACCACAGTAAAGAAAAGCTGCCTTATTCCTTGCCACCCAGTGCAACTCGGCTTCCACAGAGGAAGAATGGATCCCTTCTGCCTGGCAGTTAACTTATTTTTAATACCCTGTATTTATAGTTTATGTTATTTGGAATGCTGTGGTAAAGAACATTTACCTCATGGACGGCAATACCATGTTTAACAGCATATGCTTTGGAATCACACAAACCTGGTTCAAATTTGGCTTCAAAATTTCCCTGCTTTGTGGCAAGGCAGGGTGCATAATAACTCACTGAGACTAAGATTCCTTTTGCCAAATGGGGTTGATAGAGTTATGAAGATTCAAACAACTCAGGTGAGTATAAAGCATCAGCACCATTCTTGACAGACAGAACTAACCAATGAATAGTAGCTATTATTATTTCCTCTTAAGTGGCAAAAACTCTATTTAAAAAAAATTCTGTATTTCTGAGAAAGTGATTCAAACTAAAGAAAAATCATGAGAACTTTAGATCAGTAGCATCAAACTGCATATGATTTTCAGAAGAAATGATAAAACTCAGCAAATTGTGACCCATGAGACCATAAGCATTTAATTTTAAGTCCTTGTTAAACATAAGTTTTCTCATTCAAAATGTTAAGTAGTATTTGTTGAGTCTGTCAGTAGGGTGGAATTTCTGATTTTTAGTCATTAAAATTAGTTTTTTAAGGCTAACTTTTAACTATGTCTGAAGTACTCTGTCAGCCTCAAAGTTTCTGTTATCTGTTGTGTCAGGCTGAATTGATTGGATTCTTTATGTTAAAAAATACTAACAAGCTGTATCTTCTTTACATGTAGTATTAGGCTTAATGCTGTTAATAGCCTGTGTTTTCAGGATTAAAAAATAAAGTTATTATGGAATTGCAGCTACCATTTTATAGTGGTTGTAATTCCATAATAACTTAATTTTTTAGTCCTGAAAACACAAGCTATTTAACAGTATTAAACTTAGCACTACATGGACAGAGGAGCCTGGTGAGCTACAGTCCATGGGGTCGCAAAGAGTTGGACACGACTGAGCGACTCAGAACAAACAAAAACAAACAGAACAAATTCTCTGGTGGCTCAGTCAGTCATAATTCTACCTTAGGCTTTGCATTTGCACCAAGCTAAGATTCAGAACTTGCAACACGTAAACATATATTTTTCTTTGACAGTGGACATTCCTCTGGTTATGATAGTCGTTCTGCACGTGCTTTTCCATATGGCAATGGTAAGTGTTATTTTTTAATTGCCCGGATTCAATTGAAATCAGTAAAGTACTTAAATACTTTAAAATAGTAGAAACATACTCCCATGGTTTAAAGTACTACCTTAAAAGGAATTAAAAAATATTTACTATAGAAATAATTAGTCTTACGTATATTCCAGGTTACTTAACAGAATATTTTTCATTTCTTTAGTAAAGATGTAATTGTCCTTCCTTCCTGAAGTATCTATAGCATCATCTCCATTTATGTATCAGGTTCCCTGCATGGGTGTATCTATTTCTTAGCTTTCGAGACTATAGTTTTTAATTATATCTATGCTAATAGTGCCACACTTACTATAAAACTCTTTAATTTTGAGTTTTATAGTAAATCTGATATCTGTTTTAGCAAACGCTATCTTACTCTGTTTCAGAAGTGATTTTGGGCCATTGCTTTTATATTTCTATTTTAGAATCAATTTTTCAAGTTTCATTGAAAACTGTTGAGATTTTTATTGATAACTAACTCATGTTTACAATATGACAAACTATTGATTCATGTAATCCTGACAGCCTTATAAAGCAGGCATACTGTTATGATCATCATTTCATGGACTAGGGAATTTAAGAACAGCCAGATTAAGTAATTTGCCCAATGTCACAGAGTAATTGGCAGAGTCAGATCAGAATTTGAAACCATGCAGCCTGTCTCCAGAGTCCTTTTCTCTTACTATACTGTATTATTATTAGATGGATGCTATAGATCGGTTTGTAGGAATTCATACCTTACAACATTGAATTAACGTCTGAACACGCATTCTGTCCATTTACGGCGATATTCTTTAATGTGTTCCAACTGAGTGCTATAACTCCTCATACACTTCTTAGACAGCTTTAGTTAGATTTAGTCATAGGTACCTAATGTTTTTATTGTCCTTATAAATGGTAACTTCGTTTAAGCTACGTGTTCTGTTTGTATTTGCTTGTATTTAGAAACAGAAATGGGCTTCATTTCATTTACATGTATAGTAAGGATATCAATATACACTTTGATCTGTTACCTGTTGAACTCTACTCAGGCAGTATCGTCTGCCCTTCTCTCCTTTTCAGGCATTTATTCCTCACATCCCATGCCCCTCATTGTTCGGTGTCACTGTTGTCACTAGGACCTCTATATAATGTTGGAGTACCGCAGGTGGAGTTCTTGTCTGGAACCACCCCACCTACCCTGTTTTAAATTATTTTTTTTTAAAGGAAATGCTTTTATACTTATACTATGAAATTCTTACTCTCAGATTTTTGATAGAACCCTCTGTCAGAATAAGGAAAATCTCTTCTAGTTTTACAAGGGCTTTTAAACTGTGAATGGATATTGAGTTTCATCAGATGCTTTCTGAGTTGATCATATTGTTTTCCTTCTCTGTTATGTGGCAGTTTTCTAAATTTTTCTGATATTAAGCCACTGTTTATTTGCTGACATAAACCTAACTTGGTCACAACTGATTACTTTTTAAAAATAAATACAGACTTACTTAGAATTTTGACATCTAAGTTCATATGTAATATTGTTCTGTGATTTTCCTTTATTTGTATTTGTCTTTACCTGGTTTTAGTATTAAGGTTATACAAGCCACATGGGATAAGTTAGAGGGATAATCTCTTTTCCCATTCTCTGAAAGTTTTTGTATTATTCAGCTGGTCTGTGCCTTATAAATGAGTAAAAGTCACCTGTAAAAACTATCTGGTCTTGTGGGGAAGGTTTTAAATGGCTGATTTAATGTCTTTAATAATTATGGGACTAGTCAAGTTTTCTTTGAATTACTTAATATGTTGCTCTAAAATATATAATAGTCTCTGTACTGTTTAATCTCTGTAACATCTGTAGTTGTAGTCCCTTACTGGTTCTGATATTTTTTTATAAGGTCTTTTTCTAATCTTGTCAGAAGATTATCATGTTTTATTCATCTAGTCTTTAAAAGCCAAGTTCTACCTTTGCTTACTATATGGTAGTTTTCTGCTGACATGATTTCTTTATTATCTCCCTTCTGTTAGATTATTCTACTATGTTCTAAGCTCATAAATTGAAAGCTTAATTCATTCACGTTCCATCTTTTGTAATGCAGGTTTTTTTTAATATTAATTTCCTTCAGAACAGTTTTCACCTCTAGACTTTTGACATATTGTACTTTTTCTTTGTGTTCAGTTTTTAAATGACTTTAAATTTATGACTTTTTTGACTGACCCTTGAGTTATCAGAAATGTATTTTAAATTTGAAATAAATGGAGATTATTTTCCCATAACTTTTAATTTTTATTTCTAATTTAGATTGTGTGGTGGTCAGAAAACATGATGTCTATTATGCTTTGAAAGAACATAATATATTTTCATAAATGTTTCATATGAGTGAGGAGAAATGAGTATTCTTTACCTGCCTGGCAGATTTCTATGTTATGTTCATTAAATCAACTCTATTAACAATGTTTTGCTCAGTCCTTATGTATCTGTAGTGATTTTTTTGTTTGCTTAAAGTTTCGATAATTGAAAAATTATATTAGTCTCCAGTGATCATGGTTGATTTCTCTGTTTCTACCTGTGTTATTTCTATTAGTTTTTATTCCATAGAAAGTAAGGCTATGTTGTTAGATGTTTGGAAGTTTAATTTGTCCTGTGTACTTAGTGAGTTGCATCCTCTATCTTCACGTAGTCTTTCTTCCTCGGGTGATCATTTTTGTATGAGTATGCTTTGCTACTTAGAATATACAGTTACTCATATGGAAATTAGGGGATATTACCATTTTCCATTTTTTTTCTCCCATCCTTTCACTTTCAACCATCTTGTGTTTTTATGTTTCATGTTCAGAATATAGGTAGAATTTTTTAAAATTCTGTCACTTAGGTGATTAATTCCATCCTCTTTGTATTACTGTAATTTTTGAGCCATTCAGACTTGTCTCCCAGATCCCCATTCTTTCTGTTGCAAAGTGAAATTTTCAGGTGATTTTTTAAATATTCTCTTTTTCCCTACATTGTTCTGAAATAATATATTTATCTCTATTTTTTTTTAGTGGTTACTCTTGACATGTATTATGCATATATCCAATAGAAGTTATTTTTGTGTATGAACTGTTTATAACTTTTGCTTATTTTTTGTTTATGAATGCCTTTTGTTTTATTCTTCAAATATAATTTTGAGTACACATTTCTAGGTTCACCGTTACTTTGTCTCAGCACTCTGAAGAGAAGCACTCTAATGTATTCTGGTTTATATTTTTGCTATATTGGGAAGTTGGTGATGTGTCTAATTCTGATTTGCTGTCCACCTTGCAAATGAAGAGTTAGATCTTTAAGATTTGTTTTTGGCATGTCCCCAGACTGTGGGTATTCACCATGTATTACTTCTCTTTTCTACATACTAAATAATTTTCTTTTTAATTTAATGAAGCATTTTTGTGGGATTTTTACCTTTTTTTTTTCATCTTTCTGTCTTGTTTTTTAAGTACCATAACTCTTAATTACTGTTTTTTCTCTTTAGTTGCCTTTCCCCACCTTCCTGGTTCTGCTCCTTCATGGCCTAGTCTTGTGGACACCAGCAAGCAGTGGGACTATTACTCAAGAAGAGAGAAAGACCGAGACAGGGATCGAGAGCGGGACCGGGAGCGGGACCGGGACCGAGACAGAGAGCGGGAGCGCACGCGGGAGCGGGAACGGGAGCGCGACCACAGCCCCACGCCCAGCGTCTTCAACAGGTGCGTCCAGCGCGCGGGCGCGCACATGCGCGTGCTGTACATGCGCTTCAGGATTTTATTCAGTGCCAGGGTGGAAAGTCCAGTTCAGCTGGGAAAGGATGGTTTGAAGAGTAGTGAGGATAGCGGATTTTAAAAGCATCAAGGCTGTCGTTCAATTCATAAGGACTTCCTACTGTCTAAAGCAGCAGTGTTCAAATTCGTTCATTTCTTCCTTAAAACAGTTTTGAAAATGTCATACCCCCTCATGTATTTTTATCTTGCCACATGAAATTTTTCATCTTAAGTATAAACATTTGGCTAATTGGTAAAGAATCTGCCTGCAATTCAGGAGATCCGGGTTTGATTCAAGTCGGGAAGGTCCGGTGGAGAAGGAAATGACAACCCACCCCAGTATTCTTGCCTGGAGAATTCCATGGACAGAGGAGCCAGGCAGGCTGCAGTCCATGGGGTCGACTTAGCAACTAAACCAACCAACCAGCCAGATAGATAAAATTTCCAGTCTATTATAAGTATCATAATTTTTTTTTCCCACAGAAGAATATTTTTATTCTAGCACACAACATGTTTATTATCACCACTAACATTGTCCTTCTTTTTATGTCTACAATAGCAGGGTCAATTAGAAATAATATCAAATAGTATTTCTGAATTGCATGCTCTTTGTTGAGTTTTAGGCTAATTTCTCTCATATCATTCAATGACAAAATGATAATACCTATTACAGTTCTGTGTGTTTATTTCACTAGAAACCCTATGACGATAAACACTTTGGAATGGCTAAAATTAATTGGCTGCACTGTAAATCTTGTTTGACACTGTAATAGTACTTTAAAAGATGGATCCTAAACTATGACTTAGATTTTTTTTTTTCCTTTGGGCAGAAACTATCATAATAATGTTTGTTCTAACGAGCTTTGACCGACATATTCATTGCAAACACGGTTATAGGTTACATTTATTTATTTATCTCTTGTTTCCCTCTTCGGCCCACAAAAATTTTGGCTGGTAATCTCTCTGGCTCAGTTTCGTATTACCATCTTTAGAGGTTACTTTTTTTCTTTTTTTTCATTTATTTTTATTAGTTGGAGGCTAATTACTTAACAAATCACTGTAGTATCCTTACCACTGGCTATGTTCAAAAGAGTAATGATAACTTTAAAAATTATGATACTTACTGATGATAATTTTTAAAGTTATCGTTAGTCTTTTGAACATAGCCAGTGGATTAAGGATACTACAGTGATTTGTTAAACATTGTTATCCATTTTTTAAAAATATATAAGTAAGCTCTCTTTAACAGTTGGAAACTCTACATTTCTTTTTGTGCTTGAATTCTTATTTGTGAACCATGTCCCCCAAAGAATTTTATTCTAATGTAAAATATTTTTATTATGAAAAAGTATTTTTAATTATCCATCCTACTTACCCTGCAACATACGTGTGTAGGTTAATGTATTAAAAATGTAATGACCATACTATTAAGTATTTAAAATTTTTTTCTGATTTTGGTATTTTTATATATAAATATAATGCAAATTCTGAAAATAATTTAGTGGAGCTACATTCCTTAGTGTGATGAAAGAGCTTCTGCCCATGTCTTAATTAATGTTTGTATCCATAGATGAATGTTACTATTGTTAGGGGAAAAAAGGCTTTGCCATTATTATATTTCTTTCTTTCTTTATTGTATAGATGTAAGCCCTGACAAATGTTGTTCACATAAAATATGTATATAAGAATTCATGGAATTTTGTTGTGGCTCTGTCATTGTTATTTGAGCACTTTAGGATTTAGTGACATGTCAAAATTATACAATTAACATATCACCAAAAGTTACTTTTAAGGATCCATAAGCTCATGGCTCAGTTTTCTTAAAAGCAAAGAATCACCCAATTGTTACACAGTGTAACAATAAAAGTACCACAAACTGGTAGCCTAGAACAATAGAAGTTTCCTCTCACAGGTCTGGAGGCTTGAGAGAGAATGTGTTCCCTGCCGTCTCGTGCCTTCTGGCTGTTGTTAGCTGTCCCTCGTGCCTTCTGGCTGTTGTTAGCTGTCCGTGGTGTCCCTTGATGCCTCGCTCCAGTCTGTGTCTCTGTCTTCTCCTCTCTGTGTCTGTGTACAAGTGCCCCTGTTCTTAGAAGGGTATCAGTCTTTGGATTAGGGCAGAGCCAGATCCAGTATGACCTCATCTTGCCTTGATGATTACATCCAGAAAGACCCTGTTTCCAAAGTTTTCAGTTTTCTGAGTTTCTTGGAATATCAGAAAGACTTTACCAAGACTTACCAGAAGACTACAAATTATATTTAATACTGTTCATGTTAGAGGTACCCTGTTCAACTCAGTATGCTCAGAAAGGGTTAGGAAAATGAAATGCTGTTAATTTTAGTATATCTTTTCCAAAATGTCTTTAAAAATTAATGGAACACCTTTATGTGTACTTTTATATTTATTTTCATGTAAACCTGGAGCTGCAAAATTCCCCCATTCCATTTATGGAAAATAGCTACCAAATAATTCATGAAATACAGCTCCTATTGACAAGCCAGCCAGCCACATTACACCCAATTTCTGTGGGGGAAAAGTCTGACTTCATTTTTCTTGTCCTGTTAAATGAGTTAATCTGTGTCCCTTGTCTAAGATAAAATAGTCACAGAACTCAAAATAAGGTGCTGCTTCCCCAACACTTTGTTTGGCTTTCCTTCAGAAGGAATTTTTGGTTTAGTTTTTTTTTGCTAGTCAGGGAAAATTCTTAGGACTCCCACCACACTCCTCTACAGTATATCTGAAGTTAGAATGTCTCCAGACACAGGCCAAAATATTCCATTTCTTCATACTTTGTAACAGAAGGATATATCCAAGATAAAAGCCTGAAGCCCTGTAAAAACTTTATGGTCCCTGGAATAAAATTGGTCTTACTGACACTGATATTTTAACTTAGATCTTATTGATGCCATGATGGTTTTTATACCCTGAGCCAATAATGTACTGTAGTAAAATTATTGAAAAGAATGCCTTTCTTTTGTAAAAGATCAGGAGCATGATGGAGAAGAGATTAACTGGAGAAGTGGTGTGATGTTTTACCTGCAGGTGTATCATTAGGCACTCCATGTTTAGGAAGGAATTAGAGATGGCAGTGGCTCCTCACTCCAGTATTCTTGCCTGGAGAATCCCATGGAAAGGAACCTGGCAGGCTGCGGTCCATGGGGTCGCAAAGTTGGACACGGCTGAGCAACTGAGCACATACATGTAGGAAAGAGTAAACCTGGAAGTTCAGGGTACGGAAATTGATAGCCTGAAACTTTGTGCCTTGGAAAGAACTCATCTATTGCTAGCCTAAAGAGGGAATTCAGAATTCCTTTTATGACCCATAAGTCACAAGTCCAGTGCACCCTTCTATATTTTAACCCCAATTCTCTCCCAAGCCAATATACTGAATGCTCTGTCTATACTGAAGTAGTTGTACATCTGGAAATCCTCATAAGTTCTAATACCTCCTTCCTTCAAGTTATTCCTATCCTTTACTGCCTCACAAATTTTTACTGATTCTTCAAGGTTCTGCTCACATTTGTCTTGTGTGAGCTCCTCTGAACCTGAAAGAAAGAATTAATTATTCCTTCACATACTCCCTAAGCACTTTATGTATTTTCTTTAGAGCATGTCTTTCTTAGTAAGCCTCTTTCAGGGCATTTACCATTTTTCATCTCTCTATTCTCAGCCCTTTGTCCATTTATGCCTGGCACATAATGAATATGTCGGTGAATAAAATGACGTACACATATCAGGGAGGTGGGTGAATACAATAGTCTCTGTGATTTTGAAAACTCTTGGTTGAAACTGTGTTAGCTAGATAGGTTTTGAAATGGTTAAAAATCACCCTTTATCACTATCAAAGCATTAATATGAACATCTTTCTAATTAACATATCCATTGAGGTACCTTCACAATGTAGAGTGAAATATCTTTAAGATAACTTTTTCTTATCAGCTATTTTTATGCATAAGATGCACAGGTACACAGTTTTCCGATTTTGCTTGGTGAGATGAAGCAATATATCAGTTCAGGATGTGAGCATATGCCTGATTCAGACAATATTTGTTTTGTTAGATGTGATCATGTAATCATATACTTCTTAATCCACAAAGGTTCTTGAGGATTATCCAGTCTAAATTTTGACTTGTCAGATGAGAGAATGGAAGTATAGAGAAATTAAACCAACAGTAGAGCCATGGTATCTACTGGAAATACGGTTATTACTTAAAATCATTTCTAGTCTTGGAATTAGGTAGTTTAAAAATTCAGTTGCCTCTTGTTTTCCTTATTTTTCTGTACTCGATTTTTTTTTCTTCTTTTAGAAGTAGTGGGGAATCAGATTAATTCTTTCATTCATTAACTGACATTCTTTGAATCCCTGCTTTGTGCCAGGGACAAAGTTGTGTGCTGAGGATACAGAATTACTCATATACTGTTGTTGCAGATTAAACCATATAATATTGTCACCTTAACTAGGACTGTGGTTGGAAGTTTAAAAGTTTGTGTAAAAAAAGCGCAGAAAGAAACTCAAATTTATTAATCTTTTTTCTCTAATAACTCCTAATAATATGACTTATACATTGTAGGCACCTGGTAAAAGTTTATTGACTAAATAAGTGAAGGCATGGTCCATACATATGTTTGTATCTGTGCATGTGTGGTATGTTTCGAGTTTGTGTGGTGGGAAATGTGCTGTTAACTTGAGTCCAAAAAGTGCATGAATTCTGTTAAATTCAAGAGCACTACTTTCCAGAAGTTGAATCATTTCTAATGTAGTTAAAATTAATATATTTGAGATAGTACTGTTACCTCTTGAATGTACATGTTCACAAGGTAAGGAACGTAATGCAAAACTTAATAGGAAAGAAGTCTAAAATGAATTGCTTTGCTAGAGCTCGTAAGTTTACTTTGCATGAATAATACAGTGTTTATAAAATATGTTGAGTTTAATTTCAGGCACACCCATGCACAGATTCTAATCAGTTTTTATTGATGCTAAAAAGTGTTAATCGTTAAACTACATTTGATTTTCATGTTGCTAGCTGTAGGGCATCAGGAGTAATGTTTACCTAAATCTGACTAAAAGTTGAAGGCCAGAGAGTGGAAAAGAGGTGGAAGAATTTTGTGTTGTTCTGAATTACCCCAGAAATAGTGTTCTCTGGAAAATCCAAGTGAACTATAAGTAAAGGCTGTTTTTCCTCAAGACTGACATTTTTGCAAATATGGCATGCAGTATGTGTTGTGTTACAAAGTACTGAGTCATTGTTGTGAAAATTACAGACTAGTTTCAACAGGTTTTTTAGTCTGCTTAATTGTGGGCCAGAGGGAAGGCTGGTCATTCTAGGGTGTTTGAAATGAGCTCTAATGATTTCCAGGCCCAGAAAAACCTTTGTGCTGCAGCTGCTTATAGGAAGAGGGGTCTTTATATTTTGAGTATGAGACCAAATCTTCCACCATCTGTGGGAATGGTTCCATCAGATGGCTTGCTTTCAGAATCTTAAAGGCCTCAAATCTAATAAAAATTGGTGGCAGGGTGAGATGGAAAGAGGTTACAAATGACAAATTGTGAGATAATTGACCTTAGTTATTTTTATGTAAATTCAGTTGGAATCATTACAAAGAGCTTGGTTTTTTAAAAAGCGTTTCTTTTTGGCTGCACGGGCTCCTCCTCGTGGCGCACGGGCTCTTTGTTGCTGCCGGCACGGGCAGTTGCAGCGCGTGGGCCCCTTGTCACAGTGGCTTCTCTTGGTGTGGAGCACAGGCTTTAGAGCGCTGGGGCTTGGTTGCCCTGTGGCAGGTGAGATTTTCCTGGACCAGGAATTGAACCCATGTACCTTGCATTGATTGCAAGGTGGATTCTTAATCACTGGACCATCAAGAAAGTCCCAAGAACCTTATTTTTAAAGAGGATAACATTAATGCTAATATTTGTCATGGTAGGTGTGAGTTTATTCTCCTTTTAGAAACTTTATTAGTCAGTTACCTTTACAAAAAGGATTCTGCTTCTGAAAACTTTAGCATTAAATTTAATGAAGGTGATGAGCCTACACGTTAGTGGCTGTTTGTTGAGGGTCTTCTCTTGTTCCAGACACACTTTATAAATACTATTGTCAGTTCTGCAACAACCCTGAAAAAGACTGTTGCCAGTTTTACAGGTGAGAAAACTTGAGTAGAGAGGTTAAGTTACTTACCCTGGACCATAGCAGAGTCAGGATGCCCCTGGGCCTGCTCTGCCCAGACTGTTCTTGCTACTTCCCACTGCTGGACATAGTGCATTACCTTTCTGGTGGCACACTTCCACTTTCCCAATACCAAGTACATATTTATGATTAGAAAAAAAATTTTCATGTGTGTGTGCATGTGTATACATGTTTATGTATATATGTCTGCATATATGAATACTTTTAAAAATAAAAATGTATCACAGGCAATAATAACTTGGTCAGCAATATGACTTGGCATTAGGTATAGCACTCCTGAATTATCACTTTTGCTAAGAGACCACTGTTAGGTTGATTGGTTTTTATATGGCTTATACTTCCACCTGATTCTGTTTCCTGTTACTGTCTAAGATTCCTTAGCATCTTGATGCTGTGTACAAATTACTAATTTAATAATTGTATTACCCATAAAATTTCTAGAAACCATAGCTATTTAGCACACAGTGTTCCAAAAGATATTTTTATTCATTCTAAAAGAGTTCACTGATATTAGGCTGTAGAGAATGTTGGCTTGTATGCTAAACAAAAAGACTTGAAGGATTAAGAAAAAAACAGAAGTATATCTATTTTCACAAAAGAACCTGAAGAGAGGTCTCAGGAGGTCAAGATGATTATGCTTGTAACACTAGCCATCAGTCCCAGTTTCACTAATACATTTTCTCCAAGATCAGAAAATGGAGATGCAGCTTAATATGGATTTGAAGTTGTTCCCATGGCCCCCTCTCCATCCCACTCCCAGTGACACGCACAGTAGTAGTAAGTTATGGGGATGTCAGAATTCAGGTGTACACAGGCGATTTTCAGCCTGCATTTTGTGTGGATATGTGGAAGTTGCTTTGGTGTCACACTGTTCTTAATGTTTATACTGCTGCTTTAGATGAATATGCTCTTTATGTGATTCAAAAACTTAAGAACCTTATCTGTATTTGAAAGCAAAATATTTTTAATATGTTTTTAGAATTCTAACTGTGTACCTAAGATTTTATAAATATAAGAATTTTGGTTGGAAATCTGAGATACACAAACATGCTTTTAATTCTAAAAAGTAAAATAAAGTGAAAGTCACTCAGTCATGTCCGACTCTTTGCGACCCCACAAACTATATAGTCCATGGAGTTCTCCAGGCCAGAATACTAGAGTGGGTAGCCGTTCCCTTCTCCAGGTGATCTTCCCAACCCAGGGATCAAACCCAGGTCTCCCTCATTGCAGGCAGTTTCTTTACCAGCTGAGCCACAAGGGAAGCTGCAAATTAAAATTTAAATCATTTTCAGCTCCCATTTTTAAAGAAAAGCAGCATTGTTTTTATAAAATTTCTTCCCTGTAACAACTGAAAGCATAGAACACACTTGATCCTTTACTATAACGTGTAATTATTGTATATTTTGTATTAGATCTAGTACTAATTTGGGAGCAGCATTGTTTTCCTCTCCGTTCAGCAGGCATGTACTTTGCACCTGTTCTGTTTAAGGAGCTAACATGGGGACTTCTAGACTCAGGCCACCTCTTTTATAGTTTGAAGTCGTTCAGAATCAGCAGTCCAGCTGTCAAGAATACGTGTTTCTGTTCTGTTTCAGCGATGAAGAGCGCTACAGATACAGGGAGTATGCAGAAAGGGGCTATGAGCGCCACAGGGCGAGCCGGGAGAAAGAAGAGCGGCACAGAGAGAGGCGGCACAGGGAGAAGGAGGAGACCAGACACAAGTCCTCCCGCAGGTCTGTCCTTAGTGAGACGCCGGGCCAGTGTGGGGCCAGGGGCGCCGGCGCGGCCTCGGGGGGCAGGAGCGAGCGGTGCCGGCGACCGATCAGCAGATCGAGAGTAGCCTGTTAAAATGTTGCTTCTTTTATAGATTTCAGCAAAGACCTCGAAATCTAACAAGATTATGTTTAATACCCATAAGCCAAAATTAGCATGAAATGAAAAATATATGAAAATTAAACTTATTTTGTTGAGCGGGAGGGAATTTGTCATGAATCAATTTTTAGTAGTAAATAATATTAAACAAAGCAGTGTTCAGTTTAATCAAAGAACATTCAGGGCCCTCTAGTCTCAAAAAAAGCATTACATTTTAATGTGTATTGTTTGCCTAAAATCAACTCTAGAAAGTATTTCCTGTTATGATTTAGTACTTTAGTTTCTAATTTGTAATTAGTCTTTTAGAATAAAGTATATGGTCCCTACTGGCCCTCTCGGCACAGTGGGAATTGTGTCAGTCTCATAATCTAAAGTATGTGGACCTTAGTGTTCTAGAATAACAACAGTGAAGCTGAGCATTAAATGTAAGTATAATCCCAGCATAGAAGTCACATAAAATGTGATTACTCCCCAAAATGTATTTGAGGAAAAAAGTATTAGGTTACTTAAAACCCATTGCTATACCAATAATTTACATAAAGTGGGTTGATTTGTCACTACTTATGTAGTTAAACATTTTTAAGAAAAATATGCCTTTCTTTTTTTCTTCAGCAACAGTAGACGTCGCCATGAAAGTGAAGAAGGAGACAGTCATAGGAGACACAAGCACAAAAAATCTAAAAGAAGCAAAGAAGGAAAAGAAGCTGGCAGTGAGCCTGCCCCTGAACAGGAGAGCACCGAAGCTACACCTGCAGAATAGGCGTGGTCATGGCCTTTTGTGTATAGTAGTGCCAGAAGTAGATACTGTAAATCTTGTTATTTTTCTGGATAATGTTTAAAAAACTTGCCTTTCATCTTGTTCTGTTAGTATGAAAAGTTAATTTTCTCTTCCAAAATAAAAGAGTGAATTTTTCATGTTAAGTTAAAATTTTTGTCTTGTAATGTTTAAAAAATAAAAAGGCAGTAATGACTTTGTATGGAAGAAAGTAATGTGAATGAGTTAGTCAGCAGAGAATTTAAACAGCTGTGTTTAGCTGTGTACATACGCAGTATCTGATAAAAGTCAAGGTTCCCTCTTGGCCAGTTTTCTTTCTTTCTTTCTTTTTTTAACAGCTCAAGCAGGCAAGATTTATCGGGCAAACAGTACACTTTTGGGGCAAGAGAGTGGGCCAGCCCCCACAGAAGAGGTCTTGGCCAGTTTTCTTGACTTAATCAAATACCAGTCTCTTACGAGGTTGCACTGCAAAAGGCATCAAAAGGTACCTCTGCGTATTGAGATTAAAACTAGTCTTTTCTCATCACTGCTATGGCACTGTGGTTTTGCATGTTAAAGAACTCATATACAGTTTTGATATCACAGCTTTTTTATAGCAGGTTTTCAGTGTTCTAAATTTGGGTTCATGGTGAAACTAAATGGGGAATTTTTATATCCACAGTAATAAAATCTAATGGCATTTGGGTTGCCTCTAAAATAACTTGTAGTTTCTAGAGAGCAGGCACATGGACACATACTCATCACTGTGACAAAAATTTGAATTGCCTCACGGCCATCTTCTATGAGCCAAACCAGGGTCAAGGTGGTTTGGCCTTTTCTTGATGCTTTTTCAAGGCTTATTGGTTGAGCAGCATGTCAGGTTTTTACAGTTACTAGCTATATTGTGAATGAAAATAAATGACAAGAGCTTTAGTCATTTTCTGTAACATAGAAGAAAATACAAGTTTACAAAATTCTGTGAGCATTTTTAGGGATAATCCATAGGAGGCGTTTGTCGGTGAAGGTAACAACATGGTTTTAAAAGAATGAATTACTAGGAACTTTTAAATAGTGATGATAGAAATGAACTTAGTATCACATACTAAAGGACAGCTATATAATTTTTGAAAAATATTTATTTCTCATTTGATAAACACTTTTCAGCAGTGCACTTTTATAAGCCTCTGTGTGGAAATTGTTTTTAAAATGCCCATAATGAATGCTTTACAGACCTCAGCACATACCAAATTTTAATTAAACTATGATTTGAATTCAGTGGGAGCATACAAACCATGTCAGCTGTTGAAGAGCTTTATAGTGAATAGAAACTTTAATCTTAAAGCTGTGGAGTAATGAGAAATGTTCCACACTGAATAAAAACTAGTAATGTTTAAGTTTTGAGAATTATATTTTCTGAGGTGTAATTGACTTTCATTAGATTCTACTTTTCCTGATGTTAAAGTTTAATATTTTTACAGTGTAGCCTTCAAATTAAAAAAAAATTGACAAGATAAATACATTGTTTCAATTTAGCTTACTTGTGATTTCCTATTTTTCTATAACCCGTCATTCATTCTATAAAAAAGTGCCAGGCCAGGAAGCAATGGTGAGAGTAATTTTTCCTTTAAGTTCTTTTAGCATCCTTGCCAAGCAAGCATGTATCATTCCTGTTGTACTTCTACCATTGACAGCCAGAAGAATATCACCACATCTATAAAGTAAATAAATAAACAAGGTATATGGTTAACATTTTGAGCCATAGCTGAAATTAATGCAATTTTTATGGTGGTCCTAGTTTTTGCTACGCTTGTCAGTTTTGATTATATTACTTCTAATTAAGATTCTCCCCATACCTAACACTTAAATTCTATCAAATTTTGTTATTCAGCTTGTTTTAGAAAGAATTCTAAAAGTATCAGAAGTTGCTGTATGGGATCAAGAATAACTCTTAATTTTGGATTACTTGAGAATAGAATGCTACATAAATGTTTCAAATTTATGACCAATAAAAAAAGGCATAATAAATACATGCCTTATTTCAAATGGGGCCAAGCTTTTGCACATAAAAAACACAATCTTTGAATAGAAGTTTTTTGTTAAACAGTCATTATTATTACCTAATTCTTCCATCATTGTATGCTGGTGTTCCTTCAACAATGGATTTGATAAAAAAAGGTTTGTTTCCATTGTATTCTTCATATCCTCCTACGATGCAGAAGCCTAGACTTCCAGCTGTATTTCTTCGTAATATAATATCTTTACAGTTATACAGGTACCTGAAATAGAACAAAATCAATGTAAATGCACAGTTAATTTGAACTCCTAGTAATTACTGTGGTTCATCTCCCATTCCCTTTATTGGCATTATTAGGCTTAATAGCACAGGATGGGTCTCGCTCAAAATTGTCATAGCCCAGTAACCTTTGTGGTAAAAAAGCTGGCTTTTTCTAAATGAACTTATCTTTTCTAAACACCCTTTAAAAAATGAGGCCATCTATTTATTACATTCTGTTTATATGTCTACTAGGAAAGATTCATTTTTCACTTGAAGATTTAGCCCCTCAATTTATATTAAAAAGTTAGTTATGCCTAAATCTTTACTGATGAACCACATTCAAGCATGCTTACAGTACCATATTTTTATTATGGATATAATTTTTAATGAAGGAAATTCTTTGAATAGATTAATCTGAAAAAATTTAAACATAACCCTAATTAATGCATTGTCTGAAGTATTATTTTGGCTTACCAGTTTATACATAGTTCTACATATTTGATAGGTTATGGAGAAGCATGCAGGCCACATAATATAGTGAGTAAAGATTGAGGTACATTTAAAGATAATAAGAATGATTCATATCGAAGGGGGGAAAAACCAGCAGTAAACTGAATAGCAAGTTATAGTAGGAATAGGAGAATGACCACAGGTCTTCTGTAAATGGGTAGAACCTTCAGCTAAAATAGAAAATTAGATTGAGGAAGCTGGTCCTTTATTATTCAGTGGCAATTAGATCAGTGTTAACATAGATGCAAGCTAAGTACAAAACTGTGTTACAATTATGACAGGTATGTCAGGAGCTGGATTTGACTCCAGAATCCCCCAGGCCAGGAACTGTTTTGAAAGGAAATTAGAATTTTCATGTTGGTAAAAATCAAGATACGGTGATTTTGTTTATAAACTGTACATTAAAATATTAACTGATTTTTGAGAAATCAATAAAAAAAATCTCTTGTGAAATGTTTTAAGTGATAAAATTGGTTATTGTTATTGACCTTGCTAATCAGTGTAACAACTTTTTCTTGCCATTTCGACTCCCATTTGAAGTCAATAGGAGTTGGGTTTGATGGTGGATAATTTTAAAATGTAGTACTAGAATTCAACTCAGTTTTTTTTGTTTTGTATCTGTCATCATAGAGCATTTACAGTAATTTGTTTCACTGAAATGATAGTATTATTTTCATTACATGAAACGGAACCATATTTTTACTGTAAAATGTTTTATCTGCTGTATTTCACAGTAAGACTTGATGTTAGTAAGTTCACCTTTCAGGAGTTGTGGAGTTTTACACAGTGGCACCCTAATAGCTCATGTTCATTAAGTATCACCTTGACACTCTTATTGAATATTTTATTCCACGTGGACAAGCTATACAAATAACCATCTAAAATTTTTATGTACCAGTAGAAAATTTTCAACGTAACATTAAGTCACAAGTGTGTCTTTTTTCTTAGACTCTTGCTTTGATACGAGTATACCATGCTCTAGGCACTTGGGATATATCAGTGAACAAAACAGGTAAAACCCCTGCCTTGTGTAGCTTTATTTGAGGGAATTTCAGTGTTACTAATTTAATTTCATTAAGTGCTTTCCTTAAGTATTTATTTCATTATAGCAGTGAGAACTCACTATGTTAAATTCTCAGAGTCAGATCTTGGTCAGTTGGGATCGAGTAAGTTTTAGGGCATTTTTTTCTTAAGTTGAATTACTTCACTCTCTACTGGGAAATGTGGCAGCTGTCTTGATCAATGTTGAGGATATACCCTTGAGAAATTAAGTGAATTTAAAATCTAAATTTAAATGTGATCTTTTTTCCTATTCTCAGTTCTCTAAATTTAGGCCTAGTTGTGAAAATTTGTGGAGAAGGAAATGGCAACCCACTCCAGGACTCTTGCCTGGAAAATTCCATGGATGGAGGAGCCTGGTACTCTACAGTCCATGGGATCGCAAAGAGTCAGACATGACTGAGCTACTTCACTGGTTCACTGGTGAAGATTTAGCATAGTGCAAATAATAGCAATTAGATCTGGTGACAGATGCCTGAAGAACTATGGACAGAGATTCATAACATTGTATAGGAGGTGGTGATCAAGACCACCCCCAAGAAAAACACAAGAAAGCAAAGTGGTTGTCGGAGGAGGTCTTGAAAATACCTGAAAAAAGAAGAGAAGTGAAAGGTGAAAGAGAAAGATACATATCCAACTGAATGCAGAGTTCCTGAGAATAGCAAGAAGAGATAAGAAACCCTTCTTAAGTGAAAAATGAAATAGAGGAAAACAATAGGATGGGAAAGACTAGAGATCTCTCCAAGAAAATTGGAGATACCAAGGGAACATTTCATGCCAAGATGTGCACAATAAAGGACCAGAAACTGCAAGGATCTAGCAGAAGAGATTAAGGACAGGTGGCAAGAATACACAGAAGAACTATACAAAAGGCCTTCGTGACCTGGATAACCACGATGGTGTGGTCACTCACCTAGAGCCAGACATCCTGGAATGTGAAGTCAAGTGGGCCTTAGGAAGCATCACTTCGAACAAAGCTATGGAGGTGATGGAATTCCAGCTGAGCTATTTAAAATCCTAAAAGATGATGCTGTGAAAGTGCTGCACTCAATATGCTAGCAAGTTTGGAAAACTCAGCAGTGGCCACAGGACTGAAAAGGCCAGTTTTCATTCCAATCCCAAAGAAAGACAAAGCCAAAGAATGTTCAGACTACTGTATAATTGCACTCATTTCACATGCTAGCAATGTAATGCTCAAAATCCTTCAAGCTAGACTTCAGCAGCTTGTGAACCACGAACTTGCAGAGGTACAAGCTGAATTTAGAAAAGGCAGAGGAACCAGAGATCAGACGTGGATCACAACAAAGTGAAAAAATTCTTAAAAGAGTCGGGAACATCAGACTGCCTTACCTGCCTCCTGAGAAACCTAAATGCAGGACAAGAAGCAACACTTAGAACCAGGCATGAAACAACGGACCGGTTCAAAGTTGGGAAAGGAGTACGTCAAGGCTGTATATTGTCACCCTACTTATTTAACTTATATGTAGAGTACATCATGTGAAATGCCAAGCTAGATGAAGCACAAGTGGAAATCAAGATTACCAAAAGAACAAAAACTACCACAATATTGTAATTAGCCTCCAATTAAAATTTAAAAAAAGATTGCCAAAAGAAATACCAGTAACCTCAGATATGCAAATGACACCACCCTAATGGCAGAAAGCAAAGAGGAACTAAGTCTGAAAGAGGAGAGTGAAAAAGCTGGCTTAAAACTCAACATTTAAAAACGAAATTCATGGCATCCTGTCCCTTCACTTTATGGCAAATAGATGGGGAAACAATGGAAACGGTGACTGATTTTATTTTGGGCTCCAAAATCACTGCAGTGACTGCAGCCATGAAATTAAAAGGTGTTTACTCCTCAGAAGGAAAGCTATAACAAACCTAGACAGCATATTAGAAAGCAGTGACATCACTTTTCTGACAAAGGTCCATATAGTCAAAGCTGTAGCTTCTCCAGTAGTCACGTATGGATATGAAGGCATGAAGAAGGCTGAGTGCTGAAGAACTGATGCTTTGTAATTGTGCTGGAGAAGACTTAGAAAGAGCATGACTGAATTGTAAGGACTTCCAAAAAAGAACCACACCTCTCAATGTCAGAGTGCAGACTGTTACCCCTTCTGCTTTTGAAAATTACTAGAATGCCAACTGGGGATCATGGAAACAAATGTGAACTCCATGTTAAAACTGAGGGAGAGCCACCAAAGCCAGTGAAAGACTAGATGGAAGTGAGGCTGCCTACACTGGGAGCTTGCAAACTAAGCCTGCAGAGCCCTGAGCCCATGGTGAGTGCCCCTCCGATGTGCAGAATGCCATTCTGCAGACAGTACCAGACCCAGTTTGGCCAAAAAGAAGGGCGTGAGTGAGGCAACGAAAACCCAAACAGATAACCCATACAGGACGCATGCCTGGAAATGTAGGAAGTAGCAGCCTGTCCTGGTGGTAGGGTGGGGGAAGGATGTGTACTGTGAGTGGCCCTGCAAGGCAGATCCTAATTGGCTTGGGAGAAGTAAAATACACAACTCTGTGTCATAAAGAGATGTTTCTACCACCTGGAAGACTGGTTCCTTCCTTTGATTATAAAGTTCCAGCAAATAGCCACTCCAGGAAAAATTTAACTCAAAAGTTAAAGAATGAACCAGTAGAGACACATTATAAAAGAAAAGATGGAAAGTAGCAGTAAAAACAGTAACAGACAAAAAACAACTCACCAGGAAAATGCTGCCACAGAAAAGAACTGCTGCTATAGACAAGGAAATTTATAGCACCAGCCCTTTTTACTATGAATTTAAAATATTCCTGAAACAATGGGTCTATAAGAGATCAAGGCAGAGACACAAGATTCCAAGGGGAGATAAAAGATGAGAGGAAAAGTGTTGAGAAGAAAGAAGTGGAAGAGAAAAAACACAAATATATAATGCCTACAAAGGCAAAGATGAATGACTGAAAACTAGTAGGGAGAGGCGATCAAAACAAGGCAGAATGAAAGTGAACAGTTGAAAATGATTCAAGAGAAAAGATACAAAACAAAAAGATACATGTCTGAGCTCCCTGAAAAGAAGAACCCTAATAACAACATTTATCTTGAATGTTAGATGCAAAAAGCAAGGCACATAGGGAAGGAAAGAAATAAGACAGACCTCATTTCTCCACACCACCCCTCTGTGCGAGTCAACAGTGATGCATCACCTACAAAATCCAAAAAGAGGTGAGGAGATAGTTTCATAACCAAGTAACCTGTCACGGGGCGGTACAGATGCAGCACAGTTTCTTTAACCAGTTCTCACCGGTAGTGGGCATGACAGTGCTACAGTGAGTATCACTGTACCTTGCTTGGGAAAGCCAAGAGGGAAACAGGTTAACCTAAGTGTCCACTACCAACAGGACTGGCTGAATCAATATAGTACATCTATACAAGAGAATACTCTCAGCCACGGAAAAGAAGAGGCAAGCTGATGTGTCCTGATGTGAGATGATACCAATGTATATTTTTAGATTTTAAAAAGTATGGTATAGCACATAGTGTGTATGTTACCATTGTATGTGTGTGTACCTCTATACCTAGACCAGGGGTCAGCAAACTACAGCCCTGCCCAACACCCAATTTATAAATAGCCAGCCATCCCTATTCATTTATGTGTTTAGTATTTACTGTTTATGGCTGCTTTTGCACACAGCAGAAATAAATAGTGGCAACAGAGACAGAAAGACCCTCCACACCTACACTCTGGCCCTTTCAGAAAAAGTTTACCAACCTCTGACATTGACACTCCCTGAAATATTACACAAGGAACTGGTAACCATGACCTCTGTAGAGCAGATCTGAAAGGCAAGGGCTGAGTCACTGTCAGAGGGTCACTCTTACCCTTTGGTGCCTCTGCATGTTCACTTTGCTTATTACATGACTGCAACGAGAGAAGTGGATGAAGGAAAATAAGAATTGCCAGGGTGACAGCAAACCAGTGCTGTCTTTGCTGGCATCATTTCTTGCTTTCTATTCTTAAAGGAAATGAGCAAAATTCAGATTAGACTTCTGGCAAGAGCAGGGAAGGGACCTTCCTGGTTGTCCAGTGATCAAAACTCTGCAGTTCCACTGCAAGTGGGATGTGTTTGATCCCTGGTGGAGGAACTAAGATCCTGCAAGTGGTGCCACAAAAAACAAGTACGGAAGTGCTGGGCCAAGGTCAAGGGCAAAAGGTAGAGGGAGAGAAAGCCATTCACTTGGTTGCATTTGAACTAAAAAAAATCTCACATTTATTCTGCTTTACATGAATGAACAAGGAACTTCAATTGTATGACAAATAGCTTTCAAGTACAAAGATACTTCAAAATGATCTATTTTAACAGAATGCAGGCTTAGAAAGATTTTTTTAATATAATTTTAAAGTAATACTCTTCCACCTAGGCTCAGTTTTAAAATTTTTGAAGATTTTTAAACTCAGTGCTCAATTTTCAACCTAAAATGTACTCATTTTTAAAAACATTTTATCAAGTGAAGACTCAAAAAGGAATCCCAGTTTGTATTTAAGGTAAGGTTGTTTTTTAAAACCTCATTTAAAAATTAGAGAAGCCAACCTATTCCCACCCCCCAAATGTACTCAAACCAAACATCCTACTTTCATTCATTTAATCCTCTGCCAGCATGTTGTCATCAGCAACGCCCATGTTTAACACTGAAACCACACATTTGGGATTATTAAGGCGATCCTTCATAGGCCAAGAGGTCACGCTCTGATGCAGGTGAGCAAACCTCAGTTTATCTGTCCTGTAAATATTTGATTTCTGTATCCAGCCCTGAGTAAGTTTGCTCCCAAACCTTTTCCTGAACTTGTGAAACACTTAACTGGCTTCCCTGTAAGGCTCTAGTTACATGTCACTGGAATGACAACCCAGCCGCTTCCTGAAGGCTGACGCAAGGACTTTACAAGAGTAGGAACGAAGGAGAGGTGGTCTGAGCCAGACCCTCAATCAGCACATGCCCCAGCGTCTGGGCAGAGGGAAAGTGTGCTGCTGCGTCGCTTTCTGTCTGGCCAGGGCCACCCAAAAGCTGGAGAGGGGAAGCCAATGCGAGTTTTGCCCCCTTGCAAGTTCCCAGGGCTGCCGCTCGCCAGTTCGGAAAAGGGGACCTTCCTGTGGCTCCGGGGCGTGTGAACACAGCCTCCCGTCCCTGTCAGCTGGGCTTCCTCTGCATGCATGCCCCACCCCACTGTACACGGCAGCCCTGCAAGCTCCTCAAATTCAGGCTTTTGCTCCTGCCTGAGGAGTACCATGTTTTCAGTTACAAGAGGGAAGACGAATTATTTCAAGTAGACCCACAGTCACACATGGGTCTCATTAGGACTGTCAGTGCCCCGAAGCAGCCCAAGAGAGTGACACGGTGGTCTATGAATTATAACTGTTTCCTCCCACACCTCCCCAAGAATGTCACACTGGAACTCACCGTGGTAATTCCAGCCACATGACCCAAGAGGGGAACCAGTCGCCGAGTGGGGCTGCGTCGTGGTCAGAGTCCAGGGCTGCCAGGCTGCTGTCATCTTCCTGGGGCTCATACTCTTTGACTTCCAAAGCTTTCAGTACCACCGAGGAGGATGTGCTTTTCAACAAGCCAACTGCCTCACTCCGGCTGACCTCGGTTAGTTCGATCCCATTCACATTCAACAAAATGTCACCTAGGGGCCAGAGAAGCAGAAGCCATTCTTAGTGAGGCTGCAAATGGGAACTTCTGCTGGAAAGGATAAGGGGCAGGGCTGACCGGGATGCAGAAACGTGGTGAAGGCAAAGGACATCCTCATGATGTGAGGTTGGTTCTCACATAGCAAATTGTGAGCAGCATGCATGTTGCAAGGTGTTGATAAAATATGTGTTGGGGCGGGTGGGTCTAAACATACATGTTGGTTCTTGCCTTTAAAATGGGAAGGGAGGGAAGCAGGAAGGAAGGGAGAGGGAGGATGAGAGGAAGACAAATAGTCACAGTCACTATTTAATCAAAGAAAATCTACTTTTTTCTTTTTTTTTTTCTTCCCTGCCCTCTCCCCACCCCCTATTTTTAGCACAAAGGCAGAGCAACATAGCAAAAGCTGTACACATAGCCTGGCATGTAGTAGGCACCCAATAAATACAGATTGAGTGAATAAATAAGCTTCCCATGAGATTGGCATCTCTTTCCTCTACTTAGAGTACCCTGGATCACATTAAGATTAAAGTGGTGAAAAAGAGACTCCTATGTATAGAACAGACTTGTGGACTCTGGGAGAAGGCGAGGGTGGGATGTTTCAAGAGAACAGCATCGAAACACGTATATTATCTAGGGTGAAACAGATCACCAGCCCAGGTTGGGTGCATGAGACAAGTGCTCGGGCCTGGTGCACTGGGAAGACCCAGAGGGTTCGGGTGGAGAGGGAGGTGGGAGGGGGGGACCGGGATGGGGAATACATGTAAATCCATGGCTAATTAATTTCATGTATGACAAAAACCACTGCAATGATGTAAAGTAATTAGCCTCCAACTAATAAAAATAAATGAAAAAAAAAAAAAGAGGAAAAAATATTTTTCCCAGTGATAAGAAAAAAAAAAAAAAAATAAAGTGGTGAAACACTTTTCACCGATGAGAAAGTATCTGGCTCGGTATTTTCACTTAATATTCATTGAATCAAATCATTTTTCTATCCAACCCATAAATATAATTCATAAACAGTTTCATCACTGGTCATTCCAACAAAGGATCACTTAGGATGAACAGAACCAAATTACTCCACTTAATAGAAGCAGCTTGCTTGTAACTGCAGTTCTTCCCTATTAATGCTTGGCATCCTTGGCAGGTATTCACTTTACCAGCAAGCAACGTGGCCCACAATCAAACCACATGAACCAAGAGGGGTGAAACCCAGTCCAGCAACTACACTCAAACCAGTCATGGTCAACGAGTAAGAGATGTCCTGGCCAGATAACCCTCACATTCTCTTGTTAATTCTGGAAACAGTTACCTAATCCGGGAAGCCACACTACTTCCTTTTAACACTGCTGCCCTAGTTCCTTAAGTCTCTACTTTTTACCTGTTTTTATTCTTCCATCTCTGCTTATGACTCCTCCGGGCTCGACACTGATGACATAGATTGGCAAATCCCACTCTGTGTGTGATGCGCCTCCTGCAACGGTCATGCCGAGTGATTCACCAGGGTCTTTTCGGACACTTACCACTTTCTCATGACAAGTGACCACAGGATGGAGGGGCTAAAGGCACAGACCAAAAAAAAAAAATACATAGCACATTTGTTCACAAGTGGGTTTGAACTGCTTACATACAAAAACTACCAAGATTTCATAAACATGTGATGGAGGTTCTTGGTCTTACAGAGAGGAAGGTGGGGGAGGGGGAAAGAGTTGGGGGGAGAGAGATCCAGAGAACTCACTTGGTCCTCACTACAGTTACATTATCTCGAATGCCATTGGCTGACTCAGAGCATATACATTTCAAATGGAGAAGTAAAAAATGGAAAGGAATAGGCTGGAGACCACTGGAGAAATACTAAGCATACAAAGTGAACTGCACCTGAAATTTTTCACGTGACTCATTTATTCCTGATATAGTGAGTCAGCATTTCATGAAACTCTTGTCACTTATGAATATCAGCACTTTTTTCTAAGTTAAAAGAGTAACCATATTATTCAGGTAACCACAGAAATTCGCAAAGAAAAATAATGAACTTCATAGATATTATGCTCTAAAAACTCACCAATATCTGGGTTTTCCCCAGCTGAGGACTTTATTCTTACTTTAGCGTTCTAAATAATGTGCAGTTATAACCTTTAATTTTATTACATAAAATATACACATTGCATAATACACATTGTATTAATAGAATAACTTCTAAAACAAATTAAGAGACTTGTGATTTTGATTCAATAGCACAAGACTAAAAACATCAAAGCCATATGCAACATTATCTTGAAGCATTAAGAGTGAGTCAAGGAATATATATCAGTGAATATATATCAATATGTATTTTTCTAAAAAGTTATTCTCTTTCCTGCTTGGGCAGTGACCAAGCGGATTAAGTGAGCATGTGCACTGCAAATAAATATTTATAACACCTGATCAAACCTCAAGGCGGTCTATGGTTCAAGACATAGCTGATAGTTCTATCTAAAGAAAGAAAAAATTTAAAAATTTGACAAAAATAATCACATCACAGAACAAAATGTAAGCGTGCTTCTGTTTGTTAAAAAAAAAAAAGGAGGGAAATAAGAACTTGTATTAGCTTTTGTATTTTCATAAAGGAGCTCTGAAAGAAAAAGTGGTGGAGGTGAGTACTGGGCAGGGCAGGGATGGGTGAGAAACTATGCTTTCCATCTTTTGAATTCTGTGAATATATTATGTATTCAGTAAACCAAATGGATTATAATTAAACTTTTGTAAATTTGATGGTTTTCATAATACAGAACTAATGCTTGCATGCACAGAATCAATTTTCAATGCTTCATTATGAAGCAAGATAAACCTAGGATTTTTGAGCATTTATTACCTCATGATTTCCTATGGTTTTAAATAACCCATGTCTTTTGTAATGGTTTTACTATATACAGAATGCCACATGAGTGTATCCCTAGCACTGAGCACTGCATTTAACACATTGATGACAATAAGTACACATCTGTTGAATAACTGGATGGATAAACTGCAAGTTGCCACACCTTGTCTTTGATACTGATAGAATAATAAATTGGAAATTAATAATTACAGCAAGGTATATGCTGCAATTAGTACTTCTAACATCAGGGGTGTATTTACATAAACCTTAGAACTTTGAAGTGCCCTGTAGAGACTGGCTGTGTAGGTAAGCATTAGTTCTCTCCCACAGAGGTAACCACATTTTGTCAATTGTCTTTAGCTTTTCAAATGGCTAAAAACCTCTGTCTCACAAATCTTGGTTTGCCTTCTTTTGGTATTTCTTTGAATTATTAAGTGCGTACTTTAAAAAAGCCACATTACTTCCTAAACAAAAAAAACTTGAGTAGGATCATGAAAAACTAAATCATCAAATGTCTATATGTTTTAATTTTAAATATATCACTGTGTGTATGTGTGTGTGTATGAAAGAGAGAGAAGACATTTCAGAAGGCAGATAGAACTATAAATTAAAATGAAAATAATTACAATTTCCCACTAGACCAGTCTGTTATGTATGTTTTCCAGGACACATGACAGAAGGTTGCAGCAAAAATTTGATCAGATTACCCTGGCTATTTCCATGATTCATGATGGTTAGGTGGAAGGGATTATAAAGCCACAGTGCTGGTGGAAGCCGCATTCTTAGTGGTTTAATGAACCAGAATATAATATGGTCTAGTTAATTAACAGTAAAACTTTAAATAATTGAGCTAATAAGCTAGTTTTCCATTAACAGATACCATTGGTTTAATTTAAACACTAATGGTATTTATTATCAAAAAGACACCAGGTAGTCGTTATCCACAAAAGGTTTTAGCAAGAGGTACTTGGTTTTTCGAGATTGCTTATTGTAAATAAACCTAAAATTTACAGATTTATGGGGTATGGCTGGCTGGCTGGAGGAAGGAGAGGTGGTGTAGGTTTGTAGGCTATGTAGTTAATAGTATACAAAGCAGAGATATTCCAAAATAAAAAATCTGTATCCATTGCTCAAAAACTCCAACTTGTGAGTTATTCCAAACTGAAACACAGCCCGATATAGAATGGAGGCATTCCTAATATCTGTTGCAAGAAGAATGGGCTACCGATAAGAGTTTAGTGACAAGTGATTTAATGAAACCAGGTCTCAGGAGAAATGACAGCAAGAAACTCAATGCTGTCATAGTAGGATGCCAAGCCAAGGCACAAGACTAAGCAAGGTTCGTGCTGCTTAGATACCCATCCAAATGGGGAGGTTACAGTACTGCCTCTAACAAAAGCCACAGACAAAAGTACACATTGGCCTGAGTCACCTCACTTAAAGACAGTCTACAAATTGCTGATCTGAAGGAGGCATTCTGCCTGGAGATGCATTCTGCTTCATCCACAGTGTTTTAAAATTTTTCTGGAATTGAAAACCATAAGGACATACGCTCCCTAATTTGTCCCAATCCCCACTACTCCCTAATGTTACATGAACTTGAATGTTTTTATTATCTTCCTGGGTTCTTGCAAAAACAAACACACTAAAAATAGAAGGGGAAACAACCCTGGTGGTCCAGGAGTTAACGCTCATGCTTCCACTGCAGAGGGCATGGGTTTGATCTCTGGTTGGGAAACTAAAATCCTGCATGACTTGTGGTGCAGCCAAAAAAAAAAAAAAAAAAAAAGACAGCAGAGAATCGTTAATTTTCAGGCAGATTGGGTACTTCAAAAGCCAGAAACCAAGTCACCTCCCTCATTTCAACGTGAATGGGAACCATCCTCAAACAAAGCGCCTATTGAAAAAATAAGACATCCATTTGGCTTAGACTAGAACTTAGGTCCCCATATGAGGTCTGGTTTTCACGATCGAGTTTCAAAACACTCCTCTACCTTTCCCTCTCCTCCTTGGACAGGAGACACCTGTTATCTCACCAGGTCGTGAAGATGGGATTTAGGGCTTTTGTTTTACAAGACAAGTCAAACAGTGTTTAAGTGATGAAGTCCAGAGATGACACTTAGAAATGTTCAAGTGTGCAGGCTTCCCAAGGAAGAGCTCCCTGCAGGACCAGTGGACACATCCCGGCTGGGCCTCACCTTGGGAGTGTTGCTCCTGTCCCCTGGCCCCGGGGACTGGCTGCCGTTGCTGCTCCAGCTGGCTTCCTGAAAGATGTCAGGACTCTGCCGCCGAACCTGGCGGGACACGACGAGGTGAACACGCCTTTCACTGGCCTGTGTGATGAGACACAGGCGTTAGCCACTCGGAGCTTCCATCCTAAACATCCAGTACCAATGACTTACAGAGATGTGAGTCTGGTTTTACTTTTCTTTTTAACTTTTTATTTTGTGTTGGGTTATACACGATAAACAGTGTTGTGATAGTTTTCAGGTGAGCAGCAAAGACTCGGTCATATGTATACCTGTATCCATTCTCCCCCAAGGTTTTAACCTTTTTTATGGAAAAAAATGATTTCTCACTTCTCCATGATTATACCCACTTTGTAATTTGGCAAGAACTTGAGTTATTTCCTTTATCCCTATACCTTAGGTAATGAACATCACTTCAAAGGGAGAAACTAAGGAACATTTGACTCATTCAACAGTCTTTGAAAAGACACTGTTGGGCATTGCTAACTTATTTTTAATGAACTGCACACAAGCCACGACTGAAGGACTTTCCAGCCAGAAGATAGTGTACTGTGTCAAGTTATAGCCTAGTTCAAACCCAGACCCAAGGCCTAAGACCAAAGGTAAACAGTAAAGAGAAGAAGAGGAGCTGGTGCTGGCAACACTACCACTGCAGGAACGTGAACCCTGTGAGTGACAGTGTCAAACATTTGAGGATTGGGAAGGATGAGCATTTCAGAAATCTGAGGATGACAGCAGGCTCTAACGCAACCCAGTTAAAGGCCTTGGCCCTGATCCTTTTTTTTAATGTGACAGTCACTAATTGTGTTGACTGGTCCTCTCTGCTATGTACCCTGACAAAGAGCAGCTGCACGGCTTATTAGGAAGGTTGATTCCACACCATAAACTTACCAATTGGCTCTCTGCCACTGAGGACTTTCACTTGTGTCTTGAGAACATGTGGGGTCATTATTCTACAACTGCTGACTACAGAGGTTCCAGATCTGCAGGCCAGATAGATGAAACCTTGGACCTGTGAAACATACCTAACAAGGCTCCCTGATGGCCCAGGCTGAAGGAGCCTGCTGACCTCCCTGTCATAAAAGCTGACTGTGGCTGAGGCATGGCTAGATTTGATTGGAAACCAGGAAAGATTAGGTTTGGGGACAAGGAAGATGGAGAAGAGAAGACTAAATTCTAGGCGTTTCCCTCTGCATCCCCTCCCCGAGCATCGCATCACAGCACAGGTGACGGCGGCCCACCTGCCCTTCCACAGGCACGGCTCTCAGGCCATGGACAAGGCAGGTCATGAAAGAGGCCACGGAAAGTCCATGCTCTTCTCCATGAGTTCAGACAATGGGAGTGGAGTTATTCGCTTCCTGCCTCTCTGCCTCTTCTTTCCCGTGGCCTGTAAGTCACTCTCAGGAACTAGGACCTTGTTTTAAAATCTTAAGCAATGAGAACCTCCACCAATGAAATCAGATCCCTACAGTTGCCTAGCCCAAAACTTCGTGACTTTACATTCTTCTATTAATATCTCAGGACTCTTTAGAAACATAGGGGTCATCAGCCGGATGGTTATAAATTAGATGAATGTTTAAAAACAGCTGCTAAAGTACAGCGCCTATTGTAAACATCATGGTGGATGGTGGGCAGCATGATTCATTTCACATACATGTAGAAAACCCTACAAAGGAAGTTTAAGTCCTTCACTCACTCTCCTTGATCATCACTTCTGTTGCTCTGCCCAGTCATCACTTACATACTCGTCTCCCCTGCTCATTTGCTTATCTCAAATTCCCTGGTGTTTCTCATCATATATAAAACTTGTGTCAGAACAGGGTAAAAATAACAAGCCCAGGAAACAACAGTGAAGTAAGCTGACATGAAGAACTATGGTACTAGCCAACTAAACTCAATTCTTGGAAGAGGATTTTGTAATAGCTTTTTCTTTATACTGTAAGCCTCACTTATCCAAATGAGGTTATCTCTGGGAACTTTTTGAAGCAAAAGTCACTAAAAGATAAGAAGTGGCAAACATTCAAGTCAAAACTTCAGCTGCTGAGCTCAAATGTGCTCTTTATCTTCAGGGAAACTCCAACGTTTTGAAAGATCTCAGTGGTAGGTTGGTGTCTAGGCCCACGTGCTGTGCCGTGTTCAATTTGGACTAGCAGCAGCTGCAGGCCTAAGCACCTAATGAGAATTGAGAAAATCGGAGACAGACTGAATCAACTCGCTAGGCAAAATCCCAAATGCCAAGGAGTAGCCTGTAAGAGCTATTTAATTCACATTTTCCAGCATGAATTTCTCACTGGATTTTCAAATGCCAACTCTGGCAGAAATAACACCCCAATAAATAACCCTGGTATCAATTTACTTGGAAATAAATTCCCTGCAAGGCTGGATCCCCAGTTCTTACCAGCCACCTTATAAATTGCTCTCAGAGAGATGCTATTTGATGCTCTTTCTTTCCAAGTATTTGAAGTTGAAGGTGGAAAATGGGCTAATGTGTTTATCCTGGCTTTAACTCTCAGGAGCAGCTGGATTTAGGGCTGAGAAACAGCCCTTAGCACCAGATAGCCTTTCTTTCCACTGGTTGAATGCAGTGTGAATGTGGGATGAGTGTGAGAAGGAGGGGGGAATCATAGAAAGACTGAATGAAGGAGAGAATGGCGAGAACTCGCTTATTTCATACCCACATAATCTGTGCCAGGAGGAAGGGGGGCAGCAGACCTGTTGTTTAAATAACTCTCAAAGGAAGAGGGGTCCCGCTTCTTTCTGGCATCTCCTGGGATGCTGTAATTTGGGCAAAAGAACTGTTTAACAATTGCGACTCAAGTAACAGACCAAGCTAGAGGTAATCTTCCTCTCCTCTCTCTTCTCTCCCTTAAACATTCTAAATTTTGATCCAGACAAATGCTGGACAGAGAGGTTACAAGCTGCATAGTCTGACTGCAATACCGTAATTTTTCTATTCTAAGCGCCCAAGCCTTAACTTCCTCTTCTCCCTTCCTTGGTTAAGGGGGAGGGGTTCTAATGGCCTCCACCTTCTCCCCTGTGGATCTCCACTTGCTGGCAGGCCTCTCCCCATGGTTGACAGCTGTCTGCTTTAGACTAGCCTCTAAGAGCCTTGGGGACAAGACTTCTGCCCTCAGGGAGTTGTCCTACTTTAGGAAAAGTCTGAAGCAGGTGCCAAGGAGACATGAATAATACACATAAAAGCCTCCTGAAGTGGGACCAATTACTCCTAGCTGAAAAAAAAACAGGACAAATCTCATATTCAGAGAAAACCAGAAGGAAAACTGAATAGCATTTCTCATGGAAAAGCTTGCTTGCTTTTGTCTCATTTAATGATTTCTCTGCTCTTTCGAGATTTGACTCAAAGCCGCCAATCACGTTTATATGATGAGAGTAAGCAGAGGTCACAAAAGGCAAGCATAGTCCGGCAGCCTCATTTATATTTAGCCCATTTAAAAATAATACAATCCCATCCCTCACAGCTGGAAGGAAGAAGAGTCTGAGAGTGCTACACTGACGTTTCCCAGGGCGAGCATCTTCCTTTGTGTTCAGCTTGGAAATGGCTCTTTTCTCTACAAAACCCACTGCAGTTGATTGTCAGGATTCGACAAAGACCAGGCACCTCACAGAGTAGAGAGGTGGAGATCAAAGATGCCACTGAACCAGGGGCCAGGAGAGATGTTCTGCAGAGCTGTGCCCTGGAGCAGAGTAGAATTCTGTACTGACCCACTGTGGCATGGTCTATACGGAGGCTAGTTAGGGCAGAGCAAGAGTGGATAGACTACCTGTACTTCAAAGCGTGGTGACCAAGCCAAATGCTCTACCTATTCATGTCCAAAAGACTGGAGTTAAACCAAACGCATGCTAGCATTTGCTGCTTTATATATATGTGTGTGTGTCTATATACACACACACAGTTATATTTAAGCATACATGTGTGTGTGCATGCATGCTAAGTCACTTCAGTCGTGTTTGACTCTTTCTGACCCTATAGACTGTAGCTTGCCAGATTCCTCTGTCCATGGGATTCTTCAGGTAAGAATATTGGAGTGGGTTGCCATGCCCTCCTCCAGGGGATCTTCCCAATCCAGGGATCGAACCTGCATCTCCTATGATTCCTGCATTGCAGTGGATTCTTCACCGTTGCACTGGGGAAGCCTGTATTTAAGCATATGTATGCTGAAATAAAACATTTGGTAAACTGTAATTTGTGTGACTTTGGTCATTGCACTGACATATTAGCTTCAAAAAATCTCAAGTTAAAGAGTTACCACACTCCTTCCCCCTTAATGCTACAGAGTATCGTTCTATACAAACAGCTGACACAGGGGACTCTGAACCCACTGAGGGCCATCGAGATCATGCTGCCCAGAGCAGACAGACATGCACCCCCTTTATATCATGGTACAGGTCCGCCTGACTGGGGGCCCTCTTGTTACAGAGAAAAGAGCTATAGTTGGATTTCTAATAACATAAGCTGTTTGCAGGATTTGTCTCTACTTGGTGCTCCATCCACTAACATCAGAGGTTCTAGCAAACATCTCTTTAAAAAATCCCTCCTGCATCTGCATTCTCCACTGCTTTCTTTTCCAAGGATCCGGAGAGAGTCAATTCCTAGGCAGGTTCATAGGAAGTCTGAGGTCCCCAAGCAGGAGAGGGGGCTCTGGGGCTCTCAAGGAGGAGACAGTTCAGTTCAGTTAATTTCAGTCACTCAGTCATGTCCAACTCTTTGCAACCCCATGAGCCGCAGCACGCCAGACCTCCCTGTCCATCACCAACTCCCGGAGTCCACCCAAATCCATGTCATTGAGTCGGTGATGCCATCCAACCATCTCATCCTCTGTCGTCCCCTTCTCCTCCTGCCTTCAATCTTTCCCAGCGTCAGGGTCTTTTCAAATGAGTCAGCTCTTCACATGAGGTGGCCAAAGTATTGGAGTTTCAGCTTCAGCATCAGTCCTTCCACTGAACACCCAGGATTGATTTCCTTTAGGATGGACTGGTGGGATCTCCCTGCAGTCCAAGGGACTCTCAAGAGTCTTCTGCAACACCACAGTTCAAAAGCATCAATTCTTTGGCACTCAGCTTTC